ATCCCACTTTCTCTTACTGATCTTAAACACCTGTTGGACTTCTTACCAGCGCCTGTGCTCCTGTTGGGTGATTTTCAACTGTCGGGATACCCTCTGGGGCGATGCTCTGACAAACACCCGGGGCCGCCGCCTTAAACCATTTTTCTTCTCCTTCTCTATCTCTTCAGAATTCTGGTGAACACACTTATGTTAACACCCACACTCGCACCCTTTCTTGTCTTGCTCTTTCTCTCTGCTCGTCTTCTCTTTATTTAGACTTCACATGGCAGGTTCTTGATGACCTACATAACAGGGACTATTTCCCAATCCTTGTCACTTTCTTCTATTTTCACCCTCCACTCTCCTTCCCTAGGTGGCAGTTTGCCAAGGCTGACTGGAACCTCTTCGCCTACATGCTACTCTTTCTGACCTCTCTGATTTGCCTCTCCCTCGAGCCCTCCTCTTATGTCATGACACAGTTTTTGATGCTGCCATCTACTCTGTTCCTTGCTCTACCTCCCGGGGCGCACGGAAGTGTGTTCGTTGGTGGAATGGAGACTGTGCTTGGGCTGTCCGCTGTAAGCGTGCAGCCTGGAAGAAACACTGTCGCTGACAGACGCCCGATTCTTTTATTTTGTTTCAGAAGGCGAGTGCGGTGGCCTATAGGGCCATCTGCATGGCTAAGCGTGATAGTTGGAGACCTTTCGTTTCCACCATTACGTCTGACACTCCTATGCCCCTGATCTGGAAGAAAATCTGCAAGATAGTAGATAAGTTGTTCCAGATGTCTCGCCAGTCCTTCACCTCCGTGGTTCTAGTGTGGCGGATCCGGTGTCGGTTGCAACCGAATTAAGTTCACACTTTTCGACTATTAGCACCGGTTCTCATCTTCCTCTATCATTCCTTACTCGTATTCTTGAATCTTGTACCTTAGATTTTTGCACTCATCTTCAGCTCCCTTAAAACGATCCTTTCTCTCTCTCAGAACTCAAGTCTGCCCTTACCTGCATGACCCAGTCTGCTTCTCTTATTATGAGATGCTTTACCATATCCCTCTATACACGTTTCAATATTTACTGAATGTTTATAACCATGTCTGGGAATCGTCGTCAGTCCCTGAGGACTGGCTTGAGGCAGTTGTTCATCCCATTCAAAAACCTGGTTCCTAGGGATATCCCCCTAAAAACTTCAACCCCATTGCCCTCACGAGTTGTGTCTGCAAACTCTTTGAACGTATGGTCAATGTCTGTCTCATGTGGTTCTTGGAACACTATCACCACCTCTTCTCTCCTCATTTTGGCTTTCGCAAGTATTGCAGCATGACTGATGTCTCGGTGAACTTGGAGGTCTATATTTATACTGCGTTTGTTGTGAAGACCTCCTTGGTTGCTGTCCTTTTTTACCTGGAAAAGGCATGACACCACATTGAGATATCATATTCTATCCAAACTTCATTCTTTTGACCTTCGTGGTAACCCTCCCTCTCTTCCTCCGGAGCTTCCTCTCTCGTCGCTCCTTTAGAATAAGGCTTGGTACTGCTCATTTGCCTCTTTTCGGCAATACGAAGGTGCACCTCAAGGTAGTGTACTGATCACTTCTCTTTTCCTGGTTGCCCTCAATGGTCTTCCTTCGTCCCTTCCCTCTGGCATTTTCTCAGCTCTCTATGTTTACGATAATATCCTCTGATGTCAAGGTGATGACTCGCTTTTCCTCCAATGGCAGCTTCAACTTGCAAATGGTGCCGTGTCTTCCTGGCCCACCAATCATGGCTTCAAGTTCTCTACATTTTAGACATGTGGTATGACCATTACTCGGAAGCAGGTCGTTCTTCGTCCCCTTTGTCGCTTTATGGTAATCCTCTTTTATATAAGGATTCTGCAAAACTTCAGGTTATAATCCTTGAATTCGTTTGTCTTGGTCACTCCTATATCTCTTACTTTTGAGTTGAAAGTTCTAAGGCCCTTAAATTACTTACGGTCTTGTCCCATACTTTCTGGGGGAGCTGATAGGTGCACGCCCCTCTCTTTACATTCCTCTCTCTCTTAACATTCCACTCTCGTGTTGTCTAACCTCGATTACGGTTGTCTTGCTTACTCGTCTGCATCTCCCTCATCCCTTCATCGTCTTGATGCTATTCACCATACTGGGTTTCGCCTCAGCTCTGGTGCCTTTCGTTCAACTCCTACCATCATCCTGTATGTTGACACCGGCATCCTGTCTCTACAGGATCGCTGGTATCACTACTGTCTTCGCTACTTTGCCCGATCCTTACAGCACCCACACTCTCGCTTATGTTGTACTTTGAACACTATCCCTACTGTGGACTCTGTTCCCTTTCGCCACTTTTCCCTTTCTGTTCGGTTGTCCTGCTTGTAAGGTTCTCTCTCTTGGTTCGTGTTACCAATATTTCTCCTCGTGTCGTTCCATCTTTGCCCCCATGGTAAGTCCCTCTTCCTAAGTTTTGTTGAACCCTGACCCGCCTAACAAAAGCTTTTACCTCTCCTACAGTTTTGAAAAATCTTTTCTTTGTTCACTTTTCTTCATACTCCCGCTCCATCATCATCTTCACAGATGGGTCTAAGTCTGCCGACTACTCGATGTTATTTCCTGACCACACCTATACGTGTTGCCTGCCCCCCCGGAGACTGGCATCTTCACGGCATAACTTTATGCCAGTTTGTATGCTCTTCATCAGCTGCTTTCTCTCTGTCAATCTTCCTTTGTTGTTGTAGTTGACTCTCACAGTGCCTTAATGGCTCCAGAGTCTTTTAATCCTGTCCATTCTGTAGACATCGAAATTCAATATTGGCTGTTTCTTATCTCCAGCAGATTTAAGATAGTCGAGTTTTGCTGGGTTCCCAGCCATATTCATGTGTCCTTAAATGAGCGTGCGGAGGCTACCATGAAGGAGTCTGTCTGCACTTGCCACATTTCTCGCAAAAGTGTTCATTATTTCGACTTCTTGCCAGTTATTCATTCCTCAATCCTTGCCTGTTGGCAGGATCGCTGGTCTTCTGTTACTGGTAACAAGCTGCGTGTTCTTAAGGGTAGTGTGTCCCCGTGGCCTTCCTCCTACCACTGTAACCGGTGGTGGGAAACGGTTCTGGCGAGGTTATGTATTGGCCATACACGCTTAACTCACGGGCACTTAATGGAGCACCACCCTGCTCCTTATTGTCCAAACTACATCGTCCATCTTACTGTCGTGCATATCCTTGTTGAATGTCCTGATTCCCAGGATGTGCGTGTGTCTTGCTTCAGGACTGTCCCTCGCGGTCACCAGTCCCTCGATAGAATCCCTTGTGACTCAGATACCTTTGATGTTGTTAGCTTTATGCACTTTTATTCTCGTATTGGCATCCTTCTTGATATTAAGTGCCTTTTAAAAATCCCGCACATTAATGTGCTACATAGTCTCCCCGGCTTGGTGCCTTCTTTTGATAATTACTTCCATACCGTCTAGGAACACCTTATGTGTTATTTGACAGATTTTCCATAGTGAATCTTTCAAAATGTTCTGAGATAATACTCTATATGTGTCTCACTTCAGCACTGGTGGAGAAAATGCGACCTCGGTCGGCGACTCACACACACACACACACACACACACACACACACACACACACACACACACACACACACACACACACACACACACACACACACACACACACAATCACAATCACAATCACAATCACACTCACACTCACACTCACACTCACACTCACACTCACACACATACACACATACATACACACTCACACACATACATACACACACACACACACACACACACACACACACACACACACACACACACACACACACACACACACACACACACACACACACACACACACACAGTTGTGTGTGAGTTGATATCACGCCAGACCTGTCTCCTGCAGCCCATATCAAGATGATAACATCAGCGGCATATGCCAGGCTGGCCATCATACGAACGGCATTCAGAAACTTGTGTAAAGAATCATTCAGAACTTTGTATACCACATATGTCAGGCCAATCCTGGAGTATGCGGCTCCAGCATGGAGCCCATATCTAGTCAAGAATAAGACTAAACTGGAGAAGGTTCAAAGGTTTGCCACCAGACTAGTACCCGAGCTAAGAGGTATGAGCTATGAGGAGAGACTACTGGAATCAAACCTCACTTCGCTGGTAGACAGAAGAATTAGGGGGGACATGACCACCACATTCACGACTCTCAAGGGAATTGATAGGATAGATAAAGAGAGGCTATTTAGCACAAGGGGCACACGCACTAGGGGACACAGGTGGAAACTGAGCGCCCGAATGAGCCACAGAGATATTAGAAAGAACTTTTTTAGTGTTAGAGTGGTTGACAAATGGAATGCATTAGGTGATGTGGTGGAGGCTGACTCCATACACAGTTTCAAGAGTAGATATGATAGAGCCCAGTAGGCTCAGGAATCTGTACACCTGTTGATTGATGGTTGAGAGGCGGGACCAAAGAGCCAGAGCTCAACCCCCGCAAACACAACTAGGTGAGTACACACTCACACACACACACACACACACACACACACACACACACACACACACACACACACACACACACACACACAGGGAGCAGTGGCTGAGTGGACAGCACGCTGGAAGCCTGATCCTGTGGTTCTGGGTTTGATTCCGGGTGCCGACAAAGAAACAATGGGCAGAGTTTCTTTCACCCAGAATGCCCCTGTTACCTAGCAGTAAATAGGTACCTGGGAGTTAGTCAGTTGTCACGGGCTGCTTCCTGGGGTGTGTGTGGGGTGTGGGAAAAAAAATAAAAAAATAGTAGTTAGTAACAGTTGAGAGACGAGCCGACAGAGCAGAGCTCAACCCCCACAAGCACAACTAGGTGAATATAAACTTTATGTAATACATGTGATACAAGAAAAACAGGTCGGGAGTCAGTGCATGAGACAACAGACGGTTAGAAAGGCGGGGTCCAAGAGCTAGCAGCTAGATCCTTAAGGCAAAAATAGTAAATGAACACACTTACCCTTTAGCGAGCAGGTCGGTGGTGTTGAAGGGAGTCTCCGTGGACGCCATCACCACCGCTCTGTGGAGCACAAAACGCCATGAGTGAGACAGAGATCATCGTCGGGTGGATGTGTTCCTGATGCTTCACCATAGTGCACTGTACTTTTGAGTACAGGCTCATGCTGCATGCGTTACTCTGATTTAACAGCCATATGGCATTGTGTTATTTGAATTCATTCCCATGGGGAGCTGCAATGTTCAGACACAGCCCATGAAATACTTAACAACTTTCACACACTCTATTTTGCAATGAAACGTAATTTAGCTAATGTCTTCCAATGAAGACATTTCCTTCTGCAAATCCTTTTGCAGAAGGATTCTGCAAAACTTCTGGGGTTAATCTTTGGCACCCGATTGTCTTGGACAACCATATCTCTTACCTCTGAGTTGAATGTTCTAACTTACTTAAGGTCTTGTCCCATACTTATTGAGGAGCTGATAGACACACAATCCTCTCTTTACATTCCACTCTCGTGTTGTCTAAACGTGATTATGGATGTCCTGCTTACTAGTCAGCCTCTCCCTCATCCCTTCATCGTTTCGATGCTCTTCACCATACTGGGTTTCGCCTCGGCTCTGGTGCCTTTCGTTCAACTCCTACCATCATCCTGTATGTTGAAGCCAGCATCCTGTCTCTACAGGATCGTCGGTATTGCCACTGTCTTCGCTACTTTGCGTGATCCTTACAGCACCCTCACTCTCGCTTATGTCGTACTTTGATCATTACCCATCCTGTGGACTTTGTTCACTTCTGCCACCTTCTCCTTCATGTTCTGTTGTCCTGCTTCCAAGGTTCTCTCTCTTGGTTCATGATACCAATATTTCTCCTCGTGTCGTTCCATCCTTGCCCCCATGGAGGGTCCCTCTTCCTAAGTTTTGTAGAACCCTGACTCGCATAACAAAAGCTTTTACCTCTCCTACAGTTTTGAAACATCTTTTCTTTGTTCACTTTTTCTTCATACTCCCGCTCCATCATCATCTTCACAGATGGGTCTAAGTCTGCCGACGCTACTCGATGTTATTTCCTGACCACACCTATATGTGTTGCCTGCTCCCCCTGGACTAGCATCTTCAAGACAGAACTTTATGCCATTTTGTATGCTCTTCATCAGCTGCTTTCTCTCTGTCAATCTTCCTTTGTTGTTGTAGCTGACTCTCACAGTGCCTTAATGGCTCCGGAGTCTTTTAAACCTGTCCATTCTGTTGTCATCAAAATTCAATATTGGCTGTTTCTTATCTCCAGCAGATTTAAGATAGTTGAGTTTTGCTGGGTTCCCAGCCATATTCGTGTGTCCTTAAATGAGTATGCGGAGGCTACCATGAAGGAGTCTGTCTGCACTCGTCACATTTCCCACAGAAGGGTTCTTTATTTCGATTTCTTGCCAGTTATTCATTCCTCAATCCTTGCCTGTTGGCAGGATCGCTAGTCTTCTGTTACTGGTAACAAGCTGCGTGTTCTTAAGGGTAGTGTGTCCCTGTGGCCTTCCTCCTACCACTGTAACCGGTGGTGGGAAACGGCTCTGGCAAGGTTATGTATTGGCCATACACTCTTAACTCGCAGGCATTTAATGGAGCGCGCCCTGCTCCTTATTGTCCAAACTGCACTGTCCATCTTACGATCGTGCATATCGTTGTTGAATGTCCTGACTCCTGAGATGTGCCTGTGTCTTGCTTCAGGACTGTCCCTCGCGGTCGCCAGTCCCTCAATAGAATCCATTGTGACTCGGATACCTTTGATGTTGTTTGCTTTATGCACTTTTATTCTCATATTGGCATCCTTCTTGATATTAAGCCACTTTTAAAAATCCCGCACATTAATGTGCTACATAGTCTCCCCGGCTTGGTGCCTTTTTTGATAATTACTTCCATACCGTCTAGGAACACCTGATGTGTTATTTGACAGATTTTCCATAGTGAATCTTTCAAAATGTTCTGAGATAATACTCTATATGTGTCTCACTTCAGCACTGGTGGAGAAAATGCGACCTCGGTCGGCGACTCTCTCTCTCACACACACACACACACACACACACACACACACACACACACACAGGCGACGACGGAGCACCATCGTCGACCATACATCATCATTACTCATCTAGTTGTGTGAGCGGGAATCATACTGGTATGTACCCCCTCTCTGGTCAAGTAATCAGGTGTACAGTGTGAGGTAAAATATTATCAAATTCTTGTTCAGGATAGTATATATATTTAAAATCTCGGTGTGGGTCATTCTGATTCTGGGTAGAAGTTACCGCTTACGGAAACTAGTGACACACGCACACGCACGCACGCACGTACACGCACGCACGTACACGCACGCACACACTCAAGCCCACGTACGTATGCACGCACACACACATGCACACACAGGCTAGAAGGGATTAACACCTTTCGTGGAAAGGAGATAAACCCTCTCATAATCCACCCCCTCTCTTACCTGCTGTAAGCTGAACACTTCACCTCCTAGTAACCCCATCCCAAGCGCACACACATTCTCTCTCTCTCTCTCTCTCTCTCTCTCTCTCTCTCTCTCTCTCTCTCTCTCTCTCTCTCTCTCTCTCTCTCTCTCTCTCTCTCTCTCTCTCTTTTGCTCTCTCTCTCTCTCTCTTGCTCTCTCTCTCTCTCTTGTTTGCTCTCTCTCTCTCTCTCTTGTTTGCTCTCTCTTGCTCTCTCTCTCTCTTGCTCTCTCTCTCTCTTGTTTGCTCTCTCTTGCTCTCTCTTGCTCTCTTGCTCTCTCTCTCTCTCTTGCTCTCTCTCTCTCTCTTGCTCTCTCTCTCTCTCTTGCTCTCTCTCTCTCTCTCTTGCTCTCTCTCTCTCTTGACAAGGGACAAAATGGCAGGAGGCCGCAACAGGGACAAGGAAAGCAGCCAGGGAGATTAAACAAAGGAATTGCTAACCCAAGTTCTGGAGGAATTCAGGAGGGAGATGAATGAAATGAGGATTACAATTAACAATCTGCAAAGTGAGCTAGCATCAGCAAGAGAGGAGGTCAAATCTCTCACAGAGAAAAATAAAGAGACCGAGCATCAGATTATCATCCAAAGGGAAGGTGGGAATGTTACATTGGAAGGAAATGCCTCTGTACCTGATACATTTGCGGATATACTGAAAGAGAGCTCAGAAGCAATGGACACAGTGAGGGAGGTAGCGATGCAAGCAGCTACGTCACAGTAAGCAGCAAGGTGCACCACTCAACTGCTAGAGAGGAAAAGATCAGTGGTAGTTGTAGGCATCAAAGAACAGGAAGGATCCAACAGGCAAGAATGGAATGGCAAGGATAGAGAGGCAGTACATGGGCTACTGAAGAGGTTACAGATGGAAGGGGCTGTACATAACATAGAGAAGGTTTTCAGGTTGGGCTGGTACAACAAGGACAGAAACCGACTTGTAAAGGTGGTGTTTACAAACGAAACCACGAAGGAGGACATTCTCGAAAGGAAGAGTCGTCTGCAGCATACGGAGGGATACAAAAAAGTATTCCTGCAGAGGGACAGGACGAAGGAGGAGAGAGCCAGGGCAGCAGAGGCAAGGAGGAAGCGCAGGGAGAGAGGAGCAAACCAGGAAATCACAGCCCTCAACACAACAGTCCCAGAGACAAGAGGAGAACCCAAAACCAGCATCCCAGCAACACCAGAGGGGGGGGGGCAACACCACCACCCCCCTCTGCATAGAAACCCTCCCTTCCCCTCACCCTACCTGCCCCCACCCAACCCTCCCTCCCACCCCACCCCATTCTGACCCTGACACCCCTTCCCCATTCCCATCATGTCCCCCTTCCCACCTTTTTCCCCCTGTCCCCCCTCCCACCTTTTTCCCCCTGTCCCCCCTCCCCCTTCATCCCATACCCTCCCTATCCCTCCTCCCCCCTCACTGCGTATCCTCCATGTCCCCCATACCTCCTTAACCCACACCCTACCTGTCCCCCTTCCCTTAAACCCCCACCCCCCACCCCAAAATCCTCTGAGACCCTGCAAACCACCTCACAGATCCTCTCACCCACGGAACAGCTTCCCACACCAGCAGAATGCTTGCCAAGAAAGGGACATGAAAATGAACAGAAGAAAGTGAGCTTCAAGGCGATGTACACTAACATAGATGGGATTTCAAATAAAACAAGTGAACTTGGAGAATGGGCACTAGAAGAAAACCCAGACATAATAGCACTCACAGAAACAAAGTTAACGAAAATCATAACAAACGCAGTGTTTCCACAGGGGCTACTATGTAGTGAGGAAAGAGAGAGAAGGGAGAGGAGGAGGTGGTGTAGCTCTGATACTAAGAAAAGGTTGGAGTTTCAAAGAGATGGTAATTCAGAACTGTGAAGGTTTCAGTGACTACATTTCAGGCACCATAGCAACTGGAGGACAGAAAATTATAATAGTAGTCATATATAACCCCCCACCAAATGACAGAAGACCCAGACAGGAATATGATAGAAACAACTTGGCCACCATCAATATAATAGAGAGAGCAGCTTCTGTGACTAGCAGGAACGAATCCAGACTTCTAATCATGGGAGACTTCAACCATGGGAAGATAGATTGGGGGAACAGAGACCCACATGGAGGCCCAGACACATGGAGAGCTAAGCTGCTGGATGTGGCAACAAGAAACTTTCTAAGTCAACACGTCAAGGGACCGACAAGAATGAGAGGAGGGGATGAACCAGCCTTGCTTGATCTGATATTTACCCTAAATGAGTCGGATATAAGGGAAGTTAAGTTAGAAGCCCCCTTGGGAATGAGTGATCATAGTGTATTGAGCTTTGAGTACCTGGTTGAGCTGGGAATTATCACCCCCAAAAAAGAACTGGGAACCAAAGGGCTGGCGTACCAAAAGAGAAACTATGAGGAAATGAATAAATTCCTATGGGATATACATTGGGACACAGAACTCGGAACCAAGTCCGTACAAGACATGATGGACTATGTCACCCAAAAATGTCAGGAGGCTGTAAGCAGGTTTGTCCCAGCCCGACAGGAAAAAACAGAGAAGCAAAGTTAGAATCCGTGGTTTAATAAGGAATGTATGAAAGCAAAGAAGCAAAACAAAAGGGCATGGAGGAACTTCCGTAATAACAGAACACTATAAAGTAGAGAGCGATACCAGAGAACCAGGAACGAGTATGTCAGTGTGAGAAGAGCAGCTGAGAAAAGGTATGAAAATGATATAGCTAATAAAGCCAAGACCGAACCAAAGCTACTACACAGTCACATCAGGAGGAAGACAACAGTGAAGGAACAGGTGATGAAACTTAGGGTGGGCGAGGACAGGTACACAGAGAATGACAAAGAGGTGTGTGAAGAACTCAACAAAACGTTCCAGGAGGTCTTTACAATAGAACAGGGAGATGTCGCGGCGCTAGAAGAGGTGGCAGCAAACCAGGTGACCTTGGATAGGTTCGAAATTACAAGAGATGAGGTCAAGAAGCACCTATTGGAGCTGGATGTGAGAAAAGCTGTTGGGCCGGATGGATTCTCGCCATGGGTATTGAAAGAGTGTGCAGAAGCACTTTGCCTACCACTCTCCATAGTGTATAGTAGGTCACTGGAAACGGGGGACCTACCAGAAATATGGAAGACTGCTAATGTAGTACCAATATACAAAAAGGGTGACAGACAAGAGGCACTGAACTACAGGCCAGTGTCCTTAACTTGTATACCATGCAAGGTGATGGAGAAGATTGTGAGAAAAAACCTAGTAACACATCTGGAGAGAGGAGACTTCGTGACAACCCATCAACATGGGTTCAGGGAGGGTAAATCTTGCCTTACAGGATTGATAGAATTCTACGATCAGGTGACAAAGATTAAACAAGAAAGAGAAGGGTGGGCGGACTGCATTTTTTTGGACTGTTGGAAAGCCTTTGACACAGTACCCCATAAAAGGTTGATGCATAAGCTAGAGAAATAGGCAGGAGTAACTGGTAGGGCGCTCCAGTGGATAAGGGAGTACCTAAACAATAGGAAGCAGAGAGTTACAGTGAGGGGTGAGACCTCAGACTGGCGTGAAGTCACCAGTGGAGTCCCACAGGGCTCTGTACTTGGACCTATCCTGTTTCTGATATACGTAAATGATCTCGCAGAAGGTATAGACTCATTCCTCTCAATGTTTGCTGACGACGCCAAAATTATGAGAAGGATTAAGACAGAGGAGGACAGCTTGAGGCTTCAAGAAGACCTGGACAAGCTGCAGGAATGGTCGAACAAATGGCTGTTAGAGTTTAATCCAAGCAAATGTAATGTAATGAAGATAGGGGTAGGAAGCAGGAGACCAGATACAAGGTATCACTTGGGAGATGAAATACTTCAAGAGTCCGAGAGAGAGAAAGACCTGGGGGTTGATATCACGCCAGACCTGTCCCCTGATGCTCATATCAAGAGGATAACAGCAGCAGCATATGCCAGGTTGGCTAACATAAGAACGGCCTTTAGAAACTTGTGTAAGGAATCTTTCAGAACATTATATACCACATATGTCAGACCAATCCTGGAGTATGCGGCACCAGCATGGAGTCCATATCTAGTCAAGCATAAGACTAAAATGGAAAAGGTTCAATGGTTTGCCACCAGACTAGTACCCGAGCTGAGAGGTATGAGCTACGAGGAGAGACTACGGGAATTAAACCTCACTTCATTGGAAGACAGAAGAGTTAGGGGGGACATGATCACCACATTCAAGATCCTCAAGGGAATCGACAGGGTTGATAAAGACAGGCTGTTTAACACAAGGGACACACGCACTAGGGGACACAGGTGGAAACTGAGTGCCCAAATGAGCCACAGAGATATTAGAAAGAACTTTTTTAATGTCAGAGTGGTTGACAAATAGAATGCATTAGGAAGTGATGTGGTGGAGGCTGACTCCATATACACAGTTTCAAGTGTAGATATGATACACACACACACACACACACACACACACACACACACACACACACACACACACACACACACACACACACACACACACACACACACACAACACATACACTCACACACAACATTGCAACACGTGGGGGTCTGGTAGCTGAGTGGACATCGCACAGGACTCATAATTCTAAGGCACAGGTTTGATTCCCGGACCAGGCAGGAATAAATGAGCAAAGTATCTTTCACCCTGAATGCCCCCTGTTACCTTACACCAAATAGGTATCTGGGAATTAGACAGCTGTTACAGAGCTGCTTCCTGGGTGTGTGTGTGTGTGTGTGTGGAAAAAAATAGTTAGTAGTTAGTAACAGTTGATTGACAGTTGAGAGACGAGCCAAAAATGCAAAGCTCAACCCCCACAAGCACAACTAGGTGAATATACACTTATGTAGCACATGTGATACAAGAAAAACAGGTCGGGAGTCAGGGCATGAGACAACAGACGGTTAGAAAGGCGGGGTCCAAGAGCTAGCAGCTTGATCCTTCAGGCACAAATAGTAAATGAACACACTTACCCTTCACCAAGCAGGTCGGTGGTGTTGAAGGGAGTCTCCGTGGACGCCATCACCACCGCTCTGTGGAGCACAAAACGCCATGAGTGAGACAGAGATCATCGTCGGGTGGATGTGTTCCTGCTGCTTCACCATAGTTCACTGTACTTTTGAGTACAGGCTCATGCTGCATGCGTTACTCTGATTTAACAGCCATATGGCATTGTGTCATTTGAATTCATTCCCATGGGGAACTGCAATGTTTAGATACAGCTCATGAAATACTTTGCAACTTCCACGCAGGCTATTTTGCGATGAAAGGTAATTTATCTAATGTCTTCCGATGAAGACATTTCCTTCTGAAAATCCTGTTGCAGAAGGATTCTGCAAAACTTCTGGGATTAATCTTTGGCACCCGATTGTCTTGGACAACCATATCTCTTATCTCTGAGTTGAATGTTCTAACTTACTTAAGGTCTTGTTCCATACTTCTTGAGGAGCTGATAGACACACGATCCTCTCTTTACATTTCACTCTCGTGTTGTCTAAGCGTGATTATGGATGTCCTGCTTACTCGTCTGCCTCTCCCTCATCCCTTCATCGTTATGATGCTCTTCACCATACTGGGTTTCGCCTCGGCTCTGGTGCCTTTCGTTCAACTCCTACCATCATCCTGTATGTTGAAGCCAGCATCCTGTCTCTACAGGATCGCCGGTATTGCTACTGTCTTCGCTACTTTGCGCGATCCTTACAGCACCCTTATTCTCGCTTATGTCGTACTTTGATCATTACCCCTCCTGTGGACTCTGTTCCCTTCTGCCACCTTCCCCTTTTTGTTCGGTTGTCTTGCTTGCAAGGTTCTCTCTCTTGGTTCGTGTTACCAATATTTCTCCTCGTGTCGTTCCATCCTCGCCCCCATGGAGGGTCCCTCTTCCTAAGTTTTGTAGAACCCTGACTCGCATAACAAAAGCTTTTACCTCTCCTACAATTTTGAAACACCTTCTTCGTGTTCACTTTTCTTCATACTCCCGCTCCATCATCATCTTCACAGATGGGTCTAAATCTGCCGACGCTACTCGATGTTATTTCCTGACCACACCTATATGTGTTGCCTGCTCCCCCGGAGACTAGCATCTTCAAGGCATAACTTTATGCCATTTTGTATGCTCTTCATCAGCTGCTTTCTCTCTGTCAATCTTCCTTTGTTGTTGTAGTTGACTCCCACAGTGCCTTAATGGCTCCAGAGTCTTTTAATCCTGTCCATTCTGTTGTCATCAAAATTCAATATTGGCTGTTTCTTATCTCCAGCAGATTTAAGATAGTCGAGTTTTGCTGGGTTCCCAGCCATATTCGTGTGTCCTTAAATGAGCATGCGGAGGCTACCACGAAGGAGTCTATCCGCACTCGTCACATTTCCAACAGAAGGGTTCTTTATTTCGATTTCTTGCCAGTTATTCATTCCTCACTCCTTGTTTGTTGGCAGGATCGCTGGTCTTCTGTTAATGGTAACAAGCTGCGTGTTCTTAAGGGTAGTGTGTCCCCGTGGCCTTCCTCCTACCACTGTAACCGGTGGTGGGAAACGGCTCTGGCAAGGTTTCGTATTGGCCATACACTCTTAACTCGCAGGCATTTAATGGAGCGCGCCCTGCTCCTTATTGTCCAAACTGCACTGTCCATCTTACGATCGTGCATATCGTTGTTGAATGTCCTGACTCCTGAGATGTGCCTGTGTTTGCTTCAGGACTGTCCCTCGCGGTCGCCAGTCCCTCAATAGAATCCTTAGTGACTCGGATACCTTTGATGTTGTTTGCTTTATGCACTTTTATTCTCATATTGGTATCCTTCTTAATATTAAGCCACTTTAAAAAATCCCGCACATTAATGGTGCTACATAGTCTCCCCGGCTTGGTGCCTTCTTTGATAATTACTTCCATACCGTCTAGGAACACCTGATGTGTTATTTGACAGATTTTCCATAGTGAATCTTTCAAAATGTTCTGAGATAATACTCTATATGTGTCTCACTTCAGCACTGGTGGAGAAAATGCGACCTCGGTCGGCGACTCTCTCTCTCACACTCACACACACACACACACACACACACAACACACACACACACACACACACACAACACATACACTCACACACAACATTGCAACACGTGGGGGTCTGGTAGCTGAGTGGACATCACACAGGACTCATAATTCTGAGGCACAGGTTTGATTCCCGGACCAGGCAGGAATAAATGAGCAAAGTATCTTTCACCCTGAATGCCCCTGTTACCTTACAGTAAATAGGTATCTGGGAATTAGACAGCTGTTACAGAGCTGCTTCCTGGGTGTGTGTGTGTGTGTGTGGAAAAAAATAGTTAGTAGTTAGTAACAGTTGATTGACAGTTGAGAGACGAGCCAAAAATGCAAAGCTCAACCCCCACAAGCACAACTAGGTGAATATACACTTATGTAGCACATGTGATACAAGAAAAACAGGTCGGGAGTCAGGGCATGAGACAACAGACGGTTAGAAAGGCGGGGTCCAAGAGCTAGCAGCTTGATCCTTCAGGCACAAATAGTAAATGAACACACTTACCCTTCACCAAGCAGGTCGGTGGTGTTGAAGGGAGTCTCCGTGGACGCCATCACCACCGCTCTGTGGAGCACAAAACGCCATGAGACAGAGATCATCGTCGGGTGGATGTGTTCCTGATGCTTTACCATAGTGCACTGTACTTTTGAGTACAGGCTCATGCTGCATGCGCTACTTTGATTTAACAGCCATATGGCATTGTGTCATTTGAATTCATTCCCATGGGGAGCTGCAATGTTCAGACACAGCTCATGAAATACTTTGCAACTTCCATGCAAGCTATTTTGCGATGAAAGGTAATTTAGCTAATGTCTTCCGAATAACAGCACTCCACCATATTTGTATCACAATAGCGTAGTAGAGTGGAGTGAAAAAAATTATTTTCCTGAAATCTAAAAATTTTAATTTTTAATCCCTGACAAATATGGCAAAAGTAAGAAAAACACGATTCGGATGATTGCCACCATTTTTGGGCAGACAGCCGCTCTGAACGAGCCCGCGGGATGGTCAAAATGGTCATAATTCACCAACCACTGGAGCTAGAGACATGATTTATGGCTCAAAATTTACAGAATCTTCATGCTTCTATATCTCTTAAGAAGAACGTTTTTATCTATTTGTGCTAGAAAATATTATTAGCAAAAGACTATTTTGGGGGTTACCGGCAGCGGTAAAAATGGTGCAAATCACCTTCCATCGGTGGACGATTTATTATGTGTATTTATCATGTACTTATAATCGATAACGTATATGATATATGTTAAATTATCGATTTATCATGGACTTGTATCATATACCCTACAGTTTATATCACCTACTATTTTATTCAATTACTATTTAATGAGTAACATTTCCTCTCCATGCTATTTATACTGTGTCGTGACTATAATGCAACATGTGGTAGTTACTCGTGGCACGGTCGTTTGTGTTTGACCAGAACCCCCCCCCCCCCCCCAGGAGGCCTGAACACTGGTTGCTGGATGGCAACTACTGGTTGACAGCAAGCTCAACCACTCTTTAAAACCTGCATGGATGTCTATCCACCCTTCCATTGACCGGTGTTCAGGCGTTGTGTTGATGCCTCAGTCACCAGCTTGTCATGTCTCAACAGACTTGTTGAGACACAGATGGTTGAGCTGTAAAGGCATCATTCAGCATTGCTTAATATCGAAATTTGTCAGGTGCCAAATGGCTGGGTGCTGTTGATGACAAGAATTTAAATTGACCAAGTTATTGTAACATTTTATTGTCAAGCTTATTGCTAGTAGATGGAATTGATGTAAGCGAATGCTTCCTCCTGCTCCAGATGATCTCCCTCGTCATCACTGTCAACAAATTCACCTTTAAAATTTGTGCATAGATGGAATGATGGAAACTTTCCACATATTGACAGTACTTTGTCCATGCCCAACGTTCGTATTTCTTCATCACTGTCGCCAAACACTGCAGCCAAAACATTTTCTGGGTGTGTAAAACAATTACCTTTTTGTACTAATTTTAAGGCTGTTCCCTGCACAACCTTATTTGACAATCGTGTAATTCTTTGAATCATAAAAAAACGTGTCTTGATCCACATGCTAACTGTCTGTTTGATTTAATTTCTAACTAAGGGGGAAAATATTCCTGAAGGCAGAAGTGCAATGTTTGATAATGGTTAGCCAACGACGCACAGTATGGAAGGGTCCTCCAGCCACGGATTAGTCACCATGAATGCATAAGAGGACCAACCTCCAGATATTGCAGATCACTATTAACTGTTTCAAAAATATTTGCTAGCATATCCTGTAGGCACAGTACTGATCTGTACTCTGGTCATCACATCCTGTAGGCACAGTACTGATCTGAAATGAGGTCATCAACAACAGACTGTGGCCCTCTGGAGAGTGAGGGGTTTGGTACTTGCTTGAACTGAGCAACTGGCCAATTTGACACACAAACTATCCCAATTGCTCTTGTGAATGAGTTTGAGGTGTTTGTGGTTCCAACACGAGCCACAAATACATGGCACAGCGGGAGTGCGGTGGTATGTAGAAGGCAATAAACCCACTGAAGTGGCTTACCTAACAACTCCTCTAAACCTGGAATTTAACCACTGTACTCGCCAGTCATTGATAACGTATCATCAGTACCAACAATTGTAGGTTGATCATATTGTTCAGTGCTCTTCAAGGAATTAAACAGCCCTTGCGCGATAGTCCTGCCATTACCGTCATCAGGAGAACGATGAGTGAGGTAATATTCTCCTGGCTCCCAGACTAAAGTATAGTACTGACTAACTGTTCTAAAGTATAGTAACTTCAAGTGGCACTGATCTATAAAGTTTTCTATTTGGTCCTCCACAACAGTTTGCGTGGCATCCTTGCACCCATCCATGTTGTTGCTTAAGATTCGCTACCTGGAACAAAAAGTTCCAAGTAGCATGGGCTATGGTGAGCCCGTAGTGGACTGTGGTGCGCCCATCTAAGTCATGCGTGGGTCAGTGTATAGAAGTTCTCATGCTCTTCTTCCCTAATATTATTTCCACACTGTTCCCGCTCTCTTCGTAGCTTACTACGATCACCGATATAACTCTTATTATGATCAGTTATGAGACTTGCAACACACTGTTGGCATCTGCAGCTGCTGTCCGGTGGGATACCTGGAGACACTTGCACATCCAGGCCGGGTTAGTCCACTGACGGTGTTCGCAAGGTCGCATCCAGTCCGGCACAAACTCAGACACAGCAGAATGCTCTGATGGGCTCGTGGATGTTGAGTCAAGCACAGCAGAATGCTGTGAGGTGCTCGTGGATGTTGAGTCAGAGTCGGAGACATAACCAGAAGCCAACTCGGACTTTTCTTCATTTCTCATAGAGGAAGATGTTGGTGCACTTAATGGGGTAAATGAACGTCGCATAAACAACATGACATGAATTCAGTGGAACAACGGCAAGCCAAACATTTTCAAACACGTGGACCCTTGTGATCATTGTAAAAGGAATAATCATCATCCATCATTCTTAATCCCCTTTTTCCAAACGTCTTCACTGCTCATCATCAACACAAAACTTATCAAATAACTGATCAACATTCAACATGAATTCTGATTCCTTTACCGGGAAAGACTCTGCATTGTTTCTTCAACCAACTGTCAAGTGCACTAAAAGATGCCATCAGTGATTCCATTTTTTTGTATACTGTGAACTGATGAAGAAGACAGCCACTGCACAAAGTCCATTATAAACCAACTTGGCAACGTCGTTCGCAGCATCTACCGTCCGATAGTGCTTGAAATGAAGAGCACTCTTAATCACTTGTTGTTTTGTTGATAACACTACAAGTGGCAAGCTTCCACGACTACTAAAGTATGTCCACTGTGTTGGCAACACCAGGTGGCAAGTTTTCATGACAAAGTATGTCCACTATGTTGGCAACACTCCAGGTAGAGCAGACTGGCGGCGACGTTGTCAGTCAACACAATGATGTCAGGAGTGATAGTGACACAGAAATAGTAACTGGTAAAGGAAGTCGACCAACACCAGCATACACTGAAATGAGCAACGAATACATTCAAGTACCAGCGTGTAAATGATAATCCACTGTCTGACAATACATATGCAATGAATATTGCAGAAAACATTCACTCACAGATCATCCTGAGTTCTTCAGTGATCAAGAGACTGAAGACATCACCAGGCGTTACTGGAGAAACCAGACACCAGGTTGGTGCGACTATGTCGTCCAGTGGAGTCAAGCCCTAGCTTCGGTAGGGGAAGGACGTGGTGAATCGGCGCTCCGGCTGTTGGTGGTGTTTACCAATTTGGCCGGTTGAGGGCGGGTGTGTCTCTGCCTGCCTGTGCTGACTTGGAGTTAACGATGGGGGTCCCCCTCCCCCCTGTCCTGCGGGCTCAGTCTGTGGGCCTCGAATTTTCCGGCCGGGCTGTGTACCCAGAGATAGCGCTGGTGTGTGAGGTGCTTCATGTCCCTGTGATCGACATTTATGGTGTCGAGCTGGTGACGGCTCGTCGAGCGATATTGAAATTTACCGAGGAATTGGCATATCGCGAGTTTCTCCGTCATTACGAGGGGCGGACATTTCCCCTGCCAGATGGTGCGGGCACTGTGTCACTATCTGATCGGAGTGGTGCCCTCACGTACGTCAGTGTGCATGGGGCTCCGTTGGAGTTTCCAGAGAGTCTGCTACGGCGGTACTTCGGCCGGTTTGGCGCAGTGATTAGTGTGCGGGTGAACGTGGTGTCTTCCAGTCCACTTAAGGGTGTGAGGACCAACATTCGCACCCTGGGTATGAGGCTCCGGGAAGATATTCCGTCCTCTGTGTGGCTTATGGGCTACAACGTTCGGGTATTTTACGCCCGCCAGCCTCGGACGTGTTATCGTTGTGGCCTCTTGGGCCATCACGCTGCTGACTGTTCTGCGCCTGCCGTTGCACCCGTGAACCTCTTCAGTGAGGTGGATTTTCCGCCGCTTCCTGTGGAGGAGGATTCAGTGGATGTGGCCGTCTCTTCAGCCCCGGATGTGCCCCCTGTGTCGCCTGTTGCGCCACCTGGTGCGCCCCCTGTTGTTGTCGCCTCTCCTAAAGAGGTGGTGGCGTCGAAGGGTGATCGTCCTGCGCCGACTTGTGTCCCTGGGGTTCTTCAGACTGCCTGCTGCTCGATTCCCCCGTCTTCCAGTTCGTCCTCTGCTGCGTCTGACCCTGTCCCTGCACCCTCGCCGTCTGTTCCGGCTGTGCTGCGTGTTGGGGTGGATCCGGCGCTTCCTCCTGTGCCTGGCCTGGTGCCCCATGTGGTTGAGGATGCTGCCGTTCTGCGACGTGCATCGGTTCGCCCTGCTTGTGTTGCGCGTGTCTCGGAGTCTGCCTCCGGGTCGGATGATGTGCGGCCCGAGCCTAAGCGTTCTCCGCGTTCGTCTTCAGCATGGACAGATGTTGGCAACTTCGTCGCTTGTGAATCTGCCGGCGATGGAGGGGTGGCTCCGGTTATGTTGCGTACTACGGTGACGGTGGAGGTGCATTTGCCTGAGGATGCCCGTGCCAGTGTTTCGGCCTCCACTGCAGATATGGTGAC